TTTTTTTTTTTTTTTTTTTTTTTGGTACCGGAGATTGAACTCAGGTCCTTGTGCTTGTGAGGCAGGTGGTGAAACCACTTAGCTAAATCCCCCGGCCCATCATACGTTATTCTTATCTTTAAAATTTATGCATATTGTTGCCTTCAACTATAGCTTGTTCATTTTCAGTGCTATTAAGTGTTTTGTGAATGTATGACAATTTATTCATATTTTGATTGTGAACTTCCAGATTGTTTCTTGATTTTGCTTAGTCGTGGTCTTACCTGTGTATAGACACTGGACCCATGTCTAAAAGTTTCCTTGGAATATGTAATTAGTAGTGGAATTTCTCAGCTAGTACATTTGCAAATGTTTTCCAAAATGATTGTACCAGTGTACATCATCATCAGTGTGTAAGATCTCTTATTCCAGACATGATACTGTCACAATGCATAAGTTGTGTCAACCTGTAAGTATTTCTGCATATGATTGTGATCAGCATCTGCCTATCCACTGCAGGGTGGAGCTTCCTGTCGCATGGGGCATGGAGGGCCCTTTCCTGTAAAAAGCGCACTCACAGCATTTGCCTGGTTTTCTTGCTGGGTCATATGTTTCTTTAACCAACTCATAGTTCATGTAGTTTTGAATGTCACAGATCCCTCCTCTTCCGCTTCCTTTTTTTGGGGGGTGGCTTGAGACAGGGTCTCACTATGTAGTTGAGACTGACCTGGAACTCACCATGTATCCCAGGCTGGTCTGGAACGCACCACAATCATCCTGCCTCAGCCTCCTGAGTGCCGGGATTACAGGCGTGCGCTACCATGCCCAGCCCCTCCTCTTCCATTTCAAGTGATGTGTGATAATATTGTACATATGTACAGTGTCATATGGTAATTTGATACGTGTGTCAGAGGTGTAATGATCAAATCAGGGCAATTAGCATTTCTATCTCTTAAATGTTTATCGTTTCTTTTTGTTGGAAAATTCCTCCCTTCTCGTTCTTTATACAGTATATGATACATTCCCGTGAGCTGTAGGCACTTCTCTGTGTGTAAAACGCTGGAAGCCGTCCCCGCTCTGTGATCATGTTGTGGTACACATTAACCAACCTCTCTTTATCCTTGCTGTCTTCCTGGTAGCTACTGACCACTCTTCTGTTCTCTGCTTCTCCCTTAAAACTTCTCACCTAACACAGTCCTCTGCAGGTGACAGGATTTCATTCTCCTCCTCATCCGTTCATCTTTTGGTGGCCACCCCAGGTGACTTCCTGTCTGGGCTCTGGGGAACACCGCTACGGTGTGTAAATGTGGTGTCTCTGGTGCAGTTATTGCGCTTGGTTTGCTGATGTGCCCTGTAGTGAGGTAGCCAGGCCATCTGGTGGTTATTTTTGAGGAACTTCCTACTCTTTGCTTTCATGACTTTCCTGCCAACAGTGGAGGAGAGGTATCCTTGCCAGCTGTTTAAGTTTATTTTTATTTATTATAACCACTGTGGGGTGAGATAATGTTTCATGATGGTTTGACTTGCATTTCTCTGATGATTAGTGATTTTGGACATTTTCCTGTACACTTGATGGATATTTGTGTATGTGTAGCATCTTTTTGAGAAACTCAGATCATTTGCCCGTCTGTTGATTGGTTTTTATTATTGAGGGTTCATCCTTGGGTGTTCTGGATAGTAGCCCTTGGCAGACGCATGGCTCACGAACACCTTCTCCCATTCTGTAGGTCTCTTTATTCTGTGGATTGTTTCCCTCGCAGCACTGGAGCTTCTTAGTTTGACACACATTTCTTTATTTTTCCTTTTTTTTTTTCTTTTTTTCTTTTTATTGAGTTTATTGGTACAGTCTAGGTATACAGTACAGTTACATTCATTATTGGGATCCTGTGCCTTTACACGATAGGTCTTGATTCTCATTTTTTCCCTTTGTCCCTGCCCTCCCTTTACCCCCTCCTCCCCTCCCCATTTACAAACACTTTATTTCCATTTTTTCAATTTCTCATATTTTTTTCCTCTCCCTTATTACCTTTCCCCCACCCTTCCAACTTTCCCTACACCTTTAGCCCTTTACTTCCTATTTCACATTATTAATTATCTCATTAGGATCCTGTGTACTATTACAGTGTTTCACACCAGAGAAACTATTCGGTATTTCGGTTTATTTTTCCTTTTGTTAGCTGTGCTTTTGGTTCATAGTTCAAATTTCAGTACCTATGCAGAAATTTTGAAGTGTTTCTCCTATGTTTTCTTCTGGTAGTCTAATAATTTCAGGTTTTACATGTAGTATTTGATCCCTTTTGAATAGAGTTTTGTGCACGGTGAGGTAATCTAGCTTTATTTTTTTGCATGTGGATATCCAGTCCATTTATTGATATCCACCATTTATTGAAGAGATGGTCCTTTCTCCAGTGTATGTTTTCAATGTTATAGATGGCACATGTGGAAGCACTCATTTAAATAAGCTTTTGAAAGAAAGGTTTATTCCAGTGAACAGAGACTAAAATCAGGGAGAGATTCTAGCTGAGTTTTTTACGTACTTATGTGGATGGCTGATGTGGAAGACTGGCACGAAGAGGTTTCATCTGTCGGGTCGGCTAACACCAGGGGAGATAGTCAACAACTGACTGGGAAAAGAATTAGGCTTGTGTACGTATTGAAGGGGCCAAGGAATGTGGGGTGAAATGTTTGTGACTGAGTCAAGGACAGTCAGCACAGCTGTGTAGACAGTCACTGGACTCCTTGGCACCAGGGAAACTGTCTTCTGTTTACTGAGAAATAGCCTGTCAGGTCCATTCCTGAAAGCGGCCTGTTTGCTTTTGTCCTGTTTGTGAAAGACTCACTTAGGTCAGGCATGACATTTAGCCTTTTTGTTGAAAATCAAAAGGATATAGATGGGTAGCTTTATTTCTGAATGTTGTGTTCTGTTCATTGGTATTTGTTTTATGTCTGTACTATGCCATTTGGGCTACTATAGTATTATAGTGTGTATTAAGATCAGATATTGTGATACTTTCAGCCTTGTTTTTGCTCAAGATTTCTTTGGCTATTCAGGGTAGTTTCATAGAAAGTTTAGGACTTTTTTGTTTCTGTGAAGAATGTCATTTGTATTTTGAGGAACATTACATTCAATTTTTAAATTGATGAGTAATAGGATCATTTTAACAATACTAATTCTTCTAATTTTCTGGGGATGTTTCTCAGTGGGTGAGCATGAGGCCTTGGGTTCAATCCCCAAGTATTGTAATAATAATCATAATAATAACTTCATGAACATGGCTGTGTTTTCATTTTTCTGTGTCCTTTTCTATTTCTTTCACCAGTGTTTTGTAATCTTCATTATAAAAATCTTTCACCTCCTTGGTTCACTTTATTCTTTTTGTTATTGCTACTGTGAGCGGAGTTGCTTTCTTGATTTCTTTCTCGGCAAACTTGTATAAAAATGCTATTGATCTTTGTGTGTTGATTTTTGCATTCTGCATCCTTAGTGAATTTGTTAATCAATTCTGACAGTTTTTGGTAGATTCCTAATGTTTCTGTCTGTATAAAATCATGTCATCTGCACCTAAGGATAGTTTGACTTTCTCTTTTCCTATTTGGATGCTTTTTTTGCCTCAGCTTAATGCTGTGGCTGAGACTTGTAGCACCATTAAAAGTGACAAAGGTGGACTCGGGCGTTGATCTCAGCTCTGCCTCTCTCTGGGTGATGTTAGCTGTGGCCTGTCACCGATGGCTGAATTGCATTGCAGTTCATTCCTTCTCTCCTAGTTTCTTGTGAGTTTTATCATGAAAGGATGTTGAATTTTACTAAATGGTTTTTCTGTATCTGTAGAGAGGACTGGCTAGTGTTTTTTGTCCTGCGTTCTAATGCAGTCTGTTGTTGATTGATTTGCATATGTTGAACGACTTTTGTATCCCTGGAATAAATCCCACTTAATCATGGTGAATCATCTTTTTGATGTGGTCTTGGGCAGTGTTTTCAACCTAGAAGTGTAAAATTTGTTTTCATTCAACTTTCAAAAAAGAGTTCTTAACGTAATGAAATAGTTTCATTTTCCTACTGGAAACATTTGTTAGGATAATTAACAAAGGCTTTAAAGCTCATACTAACTGTATCTTGATAGTAAAGTTCATACCTTAGACATAAACTCTTAGTTATAGACTCTTTGCAGCCAATCAATGTGAAGCGTAACTCTTATTTCTAGACGGCTTAATGGTGCAGATAACTCCAGAGACCATGGATGGCTTGAGGCAAGCTCTGCGAGAGCAGAAGGACTTTAGAATTACCTGCGGGAAAGTGGACGCAGTAGACCTGAGAGAGTACGTGGATATCTGCTGGGTAGATGCTGAAGAAAACGGAAACAAAGGGTGAGAGTTACTAGTACTGGAGCATAATTGATTTGAAAGAGGGGAAAGAATCAAAGCATTCCTTTACTGTAATTTATGAATGAATGTAGAATTATGCCGTGGATGTAAATGCCTACCCTCCAGTTAATACACACAGCATGTTTCTTCAGGCGTGGCTCCACCCAGCCTCCTGCTGTCTCCAGGGGCTGGGAGTGGGCAGTTGGTAGAGGGCAACAGGACAGGCTGCTGCCAGGGCCAAGGAAGGCAGAGCACCTTCCCGTCACGGGGTCCCTGTACTTGTGGAGGGAGAAGGGTTCCCTTTGCACGATACTGATTAAACTGAATTACTGTGAGAAGAAACTGGCTTTAACAGTATGTACTCAGAGGCCTAGGAGATTCCTACCACACCCTTCCTCTTTAGTTACTGTTGCTTTCTTTGTTGGAGATTGGCTAAGGGATCTGGAGAAAGAAGGAAGAAGGGGGCTAATAGGAAGAGCTTTTGCATTTATAATACAGCTTTTCTGTTAGGAGACTTTTTTTGTGTGTCAGGGATTGAACTCAGGTCCTGGCTGTCTCAAGGCAGGTGGCAGCACCACTGAGGTATAAGCTAAATCCCCAGCCCTAGGAGACTTTCTGAGGTACTTAAAATCTAGGTCTGAATTGGGCATATGAGAAAGGAGATATAATTTATTGATGAACAAAAATTACTATCTAATCAATAAATCATGATAAATGAGCTACATATCCAACTTGTATATAGTTGCGATACCTTGTTGCTGTTTTAAATTTAGAACTTCCATAATTTTTCTCCACATCTTCATTTGTTCCAATCTAATGATTCATTTAATCAGAAGCACTCAGATGACATTGATCCTATTATGTTTTGCTCTGTAGTGTTATCAGCTCGGTGGATGGAATCTCATTGCAAGGATTTCCAAGTGAAAAAATAAAACTGGAAGCAGATTTTGAAACAGAAGAGAAGATTGTAAAGTGCACTGAGGTAGGAGAGAAAGATATCCCTTCCCTTTACACGCTGTGCTCGGTCTGTGCTTTGGTTTCGCAGTGGAGACCATGCCTCTCAGCCTCAGAACATTTGAATGTGACTCCGCCCTGCTTACACACGCTGCCACCCCGCTCAGCCAGGCTCACTTCAGGCTGTCATGGGACGGTACCACTGGACAGCTGTGGTTACGTTTTGGCGACACTGCTGTCTTTGGACTGCTACTGTGTCACTGCTACTATTTTACTTTGCTCTTATTTGACAATCAATGAGATATGACATAAATCTATAGCCAGGATTCACATAAAATTATTTTTGCATATTCCTTTTCTTTGCACCCATTATTTGGGGATTACATGCAGGGTCTTTGCACTGAACTACATCCCATCCCCAGCCCTATTTTTCTTTTTTTTGAGACAGTCTCAAAAAAATCCCTAAATTGCTCGGGCTAGATTAGACATTTGGCCCTCCTGCCACACAGCCTCCTCAAGTGTGGGGTCACAGGCATGCAGCACTACTCTGGGCTCCTACTTGTGTTTTAAATAAGAGGCTATGAAACTTTAGGACCGCAGATATGCAGCCTCTTAGTCTCCTTTCCTCATCAGGCAAACGGTGGCATTTGCTTCTGTATAATCGCGGTGATTTCACCTGTATGTAAGATGTGTAGAAACCACAGAACATCATTTCCTTGTTTGATCTTAACTTTCTCCAGATACCCTTACAGCAACTCTTAAGTTAGCAGAACTTTTACTGCTACAGGTCACCTTTAGGCAGAAACATCTGAGCCATTCCCATCATTCATAATCTTTGGTTTTAAATGTTTATGTATGGGATAGATTCAGGCTGTAGACATAGAATGGTCTGAGCTAGTGATTTCATTGAACTAACATTGGAATTTTATTAGTGTTGATTTGAAAGCAGGAATTGTTGCATTTCGTCAGTTGCTTTTGCTGGCTGTAGTGACACAGGCCTGTCATCCCAGCCCTTGGGAGGCTGAGCCAGGAGGATCGTCACAAGCCTGGGGTACATAGTGAGTTGAAGGCCAGCCTGCACATAGGAGACCCTGTCTCAAAAAACAGTAGTTGCTTTTAATCTTCATAATGACTTGTTTTTTAATTAAATGTATTTCAGGTGTTCTACTTTCTAAAGGACCAGGATTTATCTGTGTTGTCAACTCATCATCAGTTTGCGAAAGAAATCGCCATGGCTTGCAGTGCTGCCTTGCGCCCTCACCTGAAGACTCTAAAGAGTGGCGGGGTGAACAGGGTCGGACTCAGAGTCTCCATCGACACAGACGTGGTGAGGAGTGCTGCCTGGGGTTTCTAGATGGGTCTCGCTCACCCTTCTCTTGAAGAAGGGGTGTGTGCTGCTCCTCCTGTCTGCTGCCCAGCTCCTTCCTCCTGCAGCGGAGGTGGAGACTTGTCCTCTGTGGAGGCTGGGCAGAATGTATCGTAGATGCTGTGGGCTCTCATTTCTGTGACCCTACAGGGAGTGCAGTCACAGACAGCGAGTGGACCGTCCATCTGGCAATACCCTTCATCTGGTGGGGCCAGATTTGGCCATAGGTGGCTGAGTCCCGCTCTGTAATCATCCTGCTTTTTAAATTTGCATGTTCTGATTAGACTGTACATTGATGAGATTTAAAACATCAAGTATAAGGACTCATCTGAAAGGAGCGTCTTGGCGAGCATCCTCGGAGAGCAGTGTCCACCACCTTCTGTGCACTCGTGAAGCATGGAGGTGCTCGGTCGTTCCTCTCTGCCACCCCAGCTGCTCCCCTCCAGACGCTCCTGGTCCCCCTCCCTGTCAGCAGTCTGTGGTACTCAAGCCTGAGGTATTCTCTGGGGCTTTATCCATGGACAGGAGCAGGTGAGCCTGTCCATTTCGCTCCCCTAAAAACTTTATTTTTGCCATGCGTCTATAACTCGATACAGCATAAAGATACTACCTATTAGTGCGTGTCCTTTTTATAGTTGCATAGTAGTATATTCATTAAATAAGTGGGTGGTAGTTGATTTAACTAGATCTCAGCATATTTGATGTTGAGGTTGTTGATAATATTTTGCTTTTATATAAGTGTGAGTACAGCCATAAGAAAAATTCCTAACAGCATTGCCATATCCAAGTGTGTACTGAATAGATACTGCCGTATTGTCCCAAATAAAGGCTATGCCAGTGTATATATTCACAAAAAACTTCTAAAGTTTCATTCTTCTGCAAAACACTACATATTCAAGTCTTCTTTTGCTTTCTTGCTTGTTTGCTTTTTTTCCAATGCCAGTGAGCAAACTTGGGCACGCCAGGATAGGCCAGCACCCTTCTGTGAGGCTGCATCCCCAGCCCAAACATTTCAACTTTCACAGTTTGATAGGTGAGGCTGAAGCCCAGGATTACCTTAATATGCATTTCTGTTAATCATGAGTGAGGTCATCTGACATGTTGAGGCCCTGTTTTTCCTTTACACTTTCTGTTCCTATCTGTTAGGTATGTTTATTTTATAAATGTTTCAAGTTCCCATTACAGTTTTTCCAAGCAGACCCTCATCAGCACAGTTCATCCAGCAGGAGGAAGTTGATGCACTGCTTTGCTTTTCTCCAGCCTGGATGTGCTTCTTCCTGGAAAGAGGAAGCTTTGTTTTCATTGCACTGTTAATTGCTCCCTTTTGGGGGAAGCATCTGATAATTATTGGGCATTTGAGTAAGCACTGTCATAGTTTTCTTTCTTGGATGCATTGAATTATAACATTAAATATTGCAATAACACATCTGAAACATTTCTAAATAATTTTTTCTTTTCCTTTTGTCATATTTATTCCTTTCCCTTCTTTCCTTTCCCCAGCCCCTCCTACTTCCCTTCCTCTTCTGATGTTTTTTCCCTATTTCACATTATCTGTTACATATTTTGATCCTCATTTACACTTTCATTTTCTCACACCAGAGTATTCAGTATTTACACGTGTTACCTATTTATTTCACTAAAGAGTATGGCCTCAATGTGCATCCATTTAACTATGAATGTCTAGTTTCTCATTCTTTATGGCCGAGTAGTACTCCATTTTATTTTTTGAAAAACACACATCTTTATCCAATCACCAGTTGATGGGCATTTGGGCTGTTTCCAAGACTTAACTATTCCAAACTATGCCACTATACACATGAGTGCACATATATCCCTGGGGTATAATTCTTTTCATTCTTTTGGGAAGATATCCAGCAGGGGAATCGCTGGATCAAATGGAACCTCTAATCCTAGTTGTTAGAGGTATTTCCATACTGATTTCCACAGTTGTTGCACCAGTCTGTACTCCCACCAGCAATGGGGAAGGGTTCCTTTCTTCCCACAACCCTGCCAGTATTTGTTATTGGTTGATTTCCTGATAGCAGCCATTCTTTTAGAATAAAATGGAATCTCAGTGTTGTTTTCATCTGCATCTCTCGAATAACCAGTGATGTTGAACATTTTTTCATATGTTTATTTCCTGCTCCTACTTCTAAGTTCTTTATGTATTCTAGATAGTAAGTCCTTTTTCTGAGGAATGGCTGGTAAAAATTTTTTCCCACATTGTAGGTTATCTTAGCTCTGTTGGTGATTTCTCTTGCAGTGTAGAAGTTTTTTAATAAAATGAGATTGCAGTTGTTGGTTCTTTCTGCTAGTTCCCATGCTACTGAGGTTTTGTTCATAGTCTTTTTCTATGCCAATGTCTTCAAGAGTTCTGCCTAACCTATCTCCCAGCAAATTTAGTGTTTCTGTTTTAGTATTTAGATCTTTGATCCACTTTGATTTTAGTTTAGTGCATGGTGAAAGATATGGGTCTAGTTTTAATCTGTGGCAGGTTGGAATCCAATTTTTCCAGTACCATTTATTAAAGAGCTATCTTTCCTCCAGTGAAGGTGGTTGGCTCCTTTGTCAAAGATGAGGTGGCTGAGCATGTCTGGATTTGTTTCTGCATCTTCTCATCTGTTCCACTGGTCCTCGGGTCTGTTTCTTTGCCAGTACCATGCTGTTTTTATCACAGCAGCTTTGCAGTATAGTTCCAAGTTGGAGATTGTGATAACCTGCTACCTTGTCTTCGTTGCCTAAGATGGCTTTTGCTCTTCTAGGTCTCTTCTGGTTCCAAATGAATTTTTGGATCTTTTTCTCTAGTTCTGTGAAATATACAGTTCAGATTTCAATCAAGATTGCCTTGAATCTATATAGCAGTTTTGAAGTATGGCCATTTTCACTGTATTGGTTCTTCCTACCCAAGAACAAGGGACGTCTTTCCATTTTCTTGTATCCTCTTTAGTCCCTTTTTTCAGATTTCTATAGTTTTCAAGGTAGACGTCTTTTACTTCCTGTGCTAGATTGATTCCTAGATATGTCATTTTTTTAAACTGTTATGAAAAGAATTGTTTCCCCAATTTCTCTCTCAGCAAGTCTGTTGTGTACAAGAAGGCTATTGATTTTTTTTGAATGTTAACTTCTACTCTACTGAATCTGTCAGTTAAGTCTAGAAGTGTTTTGGTAGAATTTTTCTGGGTTTTCTATGTAGAGTGTCATGCCATCAGCAAATAATTAATGACCGTTTAATTTCTTCCTTTCCTATCTTTATTCCTTTTATATCTATCTCTTGTCTAATTACTGTGGCTAATGTTTCCACAACTATATTGAGCAGGAGTGGTGATAGTGGACATCCTTGTCTTGTTCCTGATTTTAGTGTGAAAGATTTCAGTTTTTGACCATTTAGTATGATGTAGGCTGTTGGTTTTTCAGATAGCTTTTATCAGGTTGAGATAAAGACCATCTATTCCACTTTTGTGAGTTTTTTTTTTTAATCATGAGTGGGTGTTGGATTATGTCCACTTTTTCTGTATCTATTGAGACGATTGTATTTTTTTTCTTGACTCTTAATATAGTGTATTTTTTAATGTACTTACTGTTTTATTTTTTTCTTTTTATTGAGTTTATTGGTACAATCTAGGTATACAGTACAGTTACATTCATCATTGGAATCCTGTACCTTTACATGATAGGTCTTGATTCTCATTCTTCCCCTTGTTCCTGCCCTCCCTTCAATCCCTGCTCCCCTCCCCTTTTACAAACACTTTACTTCCATTTTTTCAGTTTCTCATATTTTTTTCCTCTCCCTTATTACCTTACCCCACCCTTCCCACTTTCCCTATGCCTTTAGCCCTTTACTTCCTATTTCACATTATTAATTATCTCATCAGGATCCTGTGTACTATTACAGTTTTTCACACCAGAGAAACTATTCGGTATTTCAGTTAAAGAAATCTCTGTAGGAACATTAAAAATAGGGTCTCCTAAAACTAAAAAGGAAAGGAAAAGAGAAAAGGCAATGATGTAAGATTAAAATAATCCTTAATTCTGAAGATGAAAATGGTCCCTGAACATATTTAAATTGCTTCTTGCTGTTGTAGTCTTATCTTATTCTTTTTTTTTTCATTTAGAGGATACTTTATTAGTTTCTGTAATCAAACCCACATAGATATGACTTTACATACTTAATGCGTGTGTTACCCCTGTACAAATGGAAAAATAAAAACTAAATAAAAATAAAATTTTTTAAAAAATTAACATTTCTAGACCAATATGGCTGTCAATTTCTGTTGGCTATCTCTCTCTCTCTCTCTCTCTCCCTCCCTCTCTCTCTCTCTCCCCCCTCTCGCTCTCCCTCCTTTCCTCCCTCCACCTCTCTTTCTCATATATATATATATATATGTATGTATGTTTGTTTATATAAAAAGACCAATAATAGCAGTATGTTATGCATCAATAGCAGCAAAAGCTTTTCCAGGTTCTGCAGTCATCTGAACAAAATTATAGACATTCAGCATATTCCATTAAAAAAACAAAAACAAAAACAAAAGAAAAATATCCAGAAAACAGCAAAGTTCTGTTGCTGTTGTGGTACCTGGCACCATTTTTTTTTTTTTTTGCATCTTAATCATCATCTGGAAAGAGAGCATTCTAGAGTAATATCATTAAAAATAGCTCTGATAAAGCACAGTCACTACTACGTATCATAAAGCAGGTACAAGATATTTTACATTCACAGAGGTATGATACAATACTGTTCTACATCAGTAATACTAGAATCAGTTTTGGTTTGAAATTTTGCTTTGTCTGCAAATAAGATTGCTACCCCTGCTTTTTTCTGGGCTCCTGTCATGTGGAGAATTGTTTTCCATCCTTTCACTTTCAGTCTTTGGGCTTCTTTTTGCACTAGGTGTGTTTCTTGTATACAACATATTGTTGCACTTTGCTTCTTATTCCATTTTGCCAGTCTATTTCTCTTGATTGGTGAGTTGAGGCCATTAACATTGATGGTTATAACTGATATGTACTGATTTATTATTGTCATGTTATTGGCCTTTTGTTGACTTTTTTTACTTTTTCACCTTTTTAGTTTCTTGCCTTGCCTATTTGATTTGCTCTGTTGGGCCTCATGGTGTTGTTGCCTTCATTGTCTTTTTCTAGGATCTTGTTTAGAATTGCTTGTAGTGATGGTTTGGTATTCATGTAGTTTCTCAGGCGTTCTTTGTCGTGGAAGTATCTTATTTCCCCATCCATTTTGAAAGAGAGTTTTGCAGGATACATCAGTCTAGGTTGGAAGTTGTTCTCTTTTAGTACTTGAAATATCTCACTCCAGGCTCTCCTTGACGTGAGGGTTTGTGTTGAAAAGTCTGCTGTGATTCTGATGGCCTTTCCTTTGCATGTGATTTGTTTCTTTTCTCTTACTGCTTGTAGTATTTTGTTCTTCTGTTGGGATTCTGGAATCTTGATTATTATATGTCTAGGTGTAGATTTTTTTTTTTTTATTGTGGCTAGTTGGGGCCCTATATGCCTCACTTATCTGAATATCAAATTCTTCCCCTCTGTTTGGGAAGTTTTCTGTCATTAATTCTGTGAACAGCTTTTTTAAGTCATTTGTATTTTCTCCTGCTACTTCATGGATTCCTATCAGTCTTATGTTATTCTTCTTTGCATTATCTAGGAGTTGTTGGATTGATTTCTCATGATCCCTTACTGTTTTTAAGAGGACCTTTCTTTTCATGGTCACTAACTGCAATCTTATCTTCTATATCTGAGAGTCTATCTTTGCATCTTTTATTCTGCTGCATACACTTTCAATGTATTGTTTAATCTCCTGGATATCTGTTTGAATCTGTTTTTTACTATGGTGCACATTCATTGTTTCCATTTCTTTCCTATGCAGGGCCTTCATGGTTTCTATCATGGTCCTGTGCTCATCTTTTTTTTTTATTTTTTATTTTTTGTTTGTTTGGTCAGTTTCTGTTCTAGAGTCTCTAATCATGACTTTCATTTTGCTCACTATCTCTATGGTTATCTGGGAAATTGTTTTGAATTTTTCTGGAGCCTGATTGATCTGTTTTGTTACTTCTTGTGCTATGAGTTTAGGGTGTCCTGGTGGTTCACTGTCAGACTTTTCATCCTCATTTGCCTTACTTTTTCTATTGGTAAACTGGAAGTCTGTCTCTGTGTCTTGCTAAGTGTTTTCTCTCATTTTTATTTTTGTTGTTGGACTGTCCTTGGTTTAATCTCTGGGTTATCACCCAAATCTTCCTGATATAGTTACGCCCTAGCTTCTGTGTCTCTAATGACCCACAGACATTCTCATCTTCATAATATCAGAGAAAACAGCTCATCGAATCAACCACAATCCTTTATCCCAACTGATATAATCAGCAACACATTATGATCAAGCACAACTTGGAAACTGACCACCTGTGGTAGTCACTAGTCTATCACCCTTAAACCATTTAAATTAAATTGAAATCAAGAAGCTGTCCAGAATATGTCTGCAGTGAACAAACTTTTCATTATAGTATATTTACCATTGAATGTCTCAGACAGAGCTAGGACACAAGACCCCTGGTCTCAATTAGCTGATGGCTGAACCCCATGATCCTGACTGACCTCGGGCTGCAAGGCCCAGATTGAGTTCCCCAGCCTTCTGAACAGTTGAACTCCACACATTCTACTACAGGTTTCCCACGCCCTTTCTTTAAAGATGTTCAAAGTTGGGAACTCAGAAAAATACCCTTTATGACAACCTCTGCCTCTGCAGAGTGGGTCCAAAGACTGGCACAATCAGGAGGTCTGAGAGTGCATGGGGGGATAAGGGGAGTTATGGGGGTTCAGGGGCGCCTGTGCGGCTACCTTCCTGGCACTGGAGCGATGGCGGCTCCTGTTAATATAGTGTATTATAAGGACCAAGCATTTCGTGGTTCCACTGCCTGCTTTTGCAAGCACAAGGACCAGAATTCGATCCCCGGTACCAATAAATAAGTAAAATAGTAGTGTTAAAAAATATATAGTGTATTACATTATTTGATTTACATATATTGAACCATTCTTGCATCACTGGGATGAATCCAACTTAGTCAGAATGTATGACCTCTGTATTCTGTTTGCCAGTATCTTATTGCGGATCTTTGTGTCTATGTTCATTAGGGAGATTTGCCTGTAGTTCTCTTTTTTGGTTGGGTCTTTCTCTACTTCTGGAATCATAGTAATGCTTGCTTCCAGGAATGAATTTGCAAGTATTGCTTCCCTCTCACTTTAGAGTTTGAGAAGTAGTGTCATTAGCTCTTCCCTACATTTCTTGTAGAATTCAGCAGTGAAGCCATCAAGACCTGGGCTTTTCTTTGTTGCTAAGTTTTTAATTAACGTTTTCAATTTCATTGATTGTAATTGGGGTGTTGAGAATTTTTATATCTTCGTTCAACTTTGGTAATTCATATGCATTAAGGAGTATGTCAATTTCTTCTGTGGTTTCCATTTTATTGAAGTACAGGTTCTCAAAGTAGGTATTGATGATCCTCTGGATTACTCTTGGATCTGTTGTGGTTTCGTCCTTTTCATTCCTAATTGCATGTATTTGAGCCTTTTTGTGATAAATTTGGCCTAGGGTTTATTGATTTTATTTATTCTTTTGAAGAACCAACTCTTTGATTTGTTTTTTTTTTTTTTGATGTTTTTGTTTGGTTTTTTTCGGGTTTTGGTTTTCTGTTTTTTTGGTTTTTT